GGGAAAAGAGTCAAAAACTCATATGTTTTTAAAGATCCAGATGTATGGTGTCAAGTAAACAAAACATCAAGGTTTTCAACTAATTTTTTCCATTTTCATCCAGATGTTTGGTGTCAGACAGTCTTAATCTGTTCAGTCATAATCACAATGTTCTTTAACATCATTTGCCAATATTTAAATCCCTTCTCACCAAATTATCTCCAAAAATCCTGTTTAATTCATTCATGAGGGAAAACACAAAGATATTTTCTTCAGAAATAAACAATACCATGCCCATTAGACTCACAACATGATAATACCAGGCAGAATGGTGCCCAAGTCTTCACACTGAAAACACTTCCTATCTGTGTTTTTAAATGATGAAAGATAATTCAACTTAAATGGTTGGAATGGCAACTTAATTTTAATTGACGCGCACATGATAATTCCAGTTCTAGTAAGCAGTTGAGGAGAATAACAGGCTCTCAGTGTAAATGACAGCGATCTTTTCAGTGGGCTCTTTTCCCAACTTACTCACTTATTACCAAATCCCAAAAGAGAAGACCTGACATTCTAGGAGCGATTTCTGCTCTGGTGACTTGGAATCTACAGAAGCACTGACCTAGGAATGTGAAGACTTGATGTTGACCTTGCACTTCTGTTTTCTAACTGTGTGAACTTAAGCTGGTCACTTAAGCTCTGAGCCTCAATTTCTTCTTCTTTAAAATGGGAATAATAACCCTGCCCCCAATTAACCTGAGGATCAGATGAAAGAACTTTGAACCTGCAAAATGCTTGGCAAGTACAAAATGATCACTAACATGTAAAATGTTTTATCATTAATTTTACGTATTATTAATGTTTAAATATTACTATGTAAAACAGTACTACAGTTACTGTTAATATAGAATCGAGGGGCACAGTAGAGATAGACACAGTCAAAAAGATCTGGTTAACTATTTGCTGTTTACAAATTGTTTACAGGAATGACTCTAATCCCTGGGTGGGCAAAACAATACCAGATTCTACTCCCCTGGGCTCCTCTGTCCTTCCTGTGCTTCATCTAGCTGAACTAAGAAATAGTTTTAACACTACTCTCTTTATGGTAACTAAACAGACTAATCATAGGTTTCATTGATTGGATCTCTATTACAGTAGGGCACGTCTCCCAATCTGGAACCATACTCTTGACCAACGGGTGGACCCAACTTTGATGGGCTCACACACCCTCCTGGCCAATGGCAATGACTCAAGCCTTTGCATATAGCAATTTTATGGCTGCTAAATATTCAAACAGACCTCAGGATTTCTATCAAGGGAGATTGCTTTCACATTTTTTTTGCTCTTAGTAAAACGTTAAGTTCTGGGAAGTAGTCACCAAAGAACAGCCCAGCCCTCCTCCCCACACTATAAGAGCATTTCTAAGTGAGAAGTTAACTCACTTAGAAATGCTAAGCACTAAAGATCTTTCAAGCATTTTAATCTTATACTTTTTTGTCATGGCTCCAAGACTTTTGGAAAAAACCTCAAAACTTTTGAGCTCTACTTTTAAGATATTGAGAGGTTCTTGAAGTTCCAAAAAGTGAATAAAATAAATGAAAGGAAGACAACCTAGCTAATTTTAAACTTTAAAAAAATCTGCCGTGTCAGAAGCCGACAGAAAAAAAGCTCACACATTAAGAAATTTCTTTAAAAGTTTAGTCCTACTTTTTGCCCGATTCTAAGACTAGAGTGAAAGATGGAACGAAAAATCAAGTTTTAGTTCAACTTTTTGAAGTCAGTAATCACTTATTAGCGTGTGGCTATATTTGGACACTTGCTTTGAAGAGCCAGAAATAATACAAAAGGAAGCAATAATAATAAAAGGAAACATTTCTAATGTCATAATAGGGAAAGGTGTGTGAGCTGGAAGAAAGTACAGTACAGAAGCCCATGACAAGTCATGATAAATGGGTCGTTATAAAATTCATGTTTAGGCAGCACCAGGCCGGGGATAATGCCATTCGTCATGGCAACACTCTGCCGCTAATGAGCCCTCATTGCATATTCATGTCTGTGGCGGTTCTTCTCTCCCTCCCACCCTGCGCTAGTGCCTGGAAACGTCTCCACCTCTAGCTGAAGCTCAGCTTGGGCTCTTCTTCTTCTTCTTCTTCTTCTTCTTCTTCTTCTTCTTCTTCTTCTTCTTCTTCTTCTTCTTCTTTTTTATTTGTTATGTTGCAGCAATTACACTGTCAAAGTGCTGCCCAAGATTGATTGCTCTGATCTGTAGTTCAATTGTAAATTAGAATACACATCCCCCCAGGGACACACGGCCCCTATTCGTGATTAAGAAAAAAGCCCCATAATAGACTAATAGCTAAAGTTCTCTCTCTTTTACTTTCAGGCAATTAGCTTGATGAAATGGCCTCTTTTTGTGTACCCTGGAAGTGTAAACCGATATCATAATGAAGTATATGATGTTTATTCTATTATTTTCACCTTGCTGGGTATGCAGGAATGCATAAGTAATGGCTGCTTTGTCTGGTACGTTTACTGATTCACAAGTAAACTATTTCTTAAAGATGCAGTGTGTGCATTCTGAGGCTTGAGTTAAGCAACCCTGAACTGTGGGTTACCCTCCATGCAAAGGCCTCTCTACTAAAGAGAACAATTTCCCAGGTAGTGGTGAGAGCAAGACTGTGATTTTCAAGGGCCATCTAGCTCCTGGGCTGCTCTGGGGTAGATGAGGTGACAAAGTACAAATGGCAGCACTTAGGATCAGTGAAGACCCAGCAGCACTTTGGCAAAATGTCCTGTGCTGACTCTGTGCCCAGGGAGACTCCAGCTGACCATAATGCGTGCTTCCCCTCCCCTAATTAGTTGTGGAACACCAGATCAGGCTCCACTCTTGGAGGGGGTGAAGCTGTCCTGACACAATGTTTTATATAGCCACTTTTAAGCAGATTGCTGGTGCGCCCCTCCCCCCCCCAAAAAAAGTCCTGCCTTGTCGTGATCCAAAATTTTGATCTCTTAAGTTGGCAAGAAAACATTCTTTAGCTTCCTACATGCACCAGCTGACAGAGTTTTTGACCAGTGAGCCAATGAATACAATCATTTGTAGCTGGTGCATTTTACAGCCTTTGTGTTCTTCATATGTGATATTTTAACATTTGTTTTCTGTTCATTCACGAGAGCCTGGAGGGTAAATAAAAACAAAGTGTCCCAACTGGCAAGATACAAATAGAAAAGAAGAGGGGCTGGCCCAATGGCGTAGTGGTTAATTCATGCACTCTGCTTGGTCGGCCTGGGGTTCACAGCTTTGGATCCTGGGCACAGACCTCCACACCGTTCATCAAGCCATGCTGTGGCAGCCTCCCACATACAAAACAGAGGAAGATTGACACAGATGTTAGCTTAGGGCCAATCTTCCTCACAAAAGAAAAGGAAAGAAAAAAATAGAAAAGAAGAAAAAACAAAACAATTTATCTTGGCCTATAATGGTTTCTAGTGGGTAACTTATCAAGACATTAATTACTGTTCTAATTCTACTTTCCAATTCCCTGCCACTCATCAATAACTCAGTTTGTGTTACCCACCAAATACTTCTTGGACTTGTGTTGTCTGAATAAATTCATCCCTGTCCTCTTTAATATGAACTCTACTCGAGTTTCTAAAAAACTATTTTAATAGCAAAAGGATCTCACTAATTTTTTAATATTGAATTGAATGTGCATTTTAAGATTTGTTATATTTTGAAATATAATAATATCATAATAACGATGTTTGAGATACTGTTTTGTTACATATAAAGTGTGTTTGCAATTCCTTCCAGTTACTCTAGCCACTTCCTGGTTAATAAAACCTTTTGGGCAAGTTTATTACTATATCCTGGAAAGTGATTCTAATGTAACATAATTTTCAAAAGTACTACAAAATGATCTACCCAGAAATATTTCAGGAAAACTCACTTATACCTTTTTTGCTAAAAATCAAAGGTTTTTACCAGTCTTTATCTGGGGCCTGGCTTTCTCTTTAATTTTTACAACACTGAACCTATGTAAATTATAACCTGCAACATAATAAATAAAAGTTTTCACTGCCGTTAGAAAGGTATGCATGTCTAGTTGCCACATTGCTGCCATATTTGAAACATGCTTTTGTAGACTTTCAAGTGACATCGAGCCTGGGAAGGTCTCCAGACTTACAGCACTTACTTGCTGTCAACTGTCACATTTTTTTAGTACATTTACTCTATAACAATAATGCCTCGTATTTAAAGAGTGCTTCATAATTTTTGAAGTGCTTTCATATAAATTGCATCATATAAACAATCCTATGAGATAATGAGGCAAATAATTTTATTGCAACCCCAAAGCTAGAGGAGGAAAAATTGAGGCTCAGAGAAGTTAAGTCACTTGCCTAAAGTCGCAAGTCAGTAAGTACAAAGTTGAACGTTGTCCCCAAGCTTTTAACTCCAAAATCTGAGCTCTTTCTGGTAAGCCATGCTCCCTCTTCATTAGCTACACATTGACCATAAGCAACAGCTCGCCAGAATCTCACAGCTCTTAATGTAAACGAGTCTTGTGATCTTTATATCTGGACAAGATTAAAGACACACACACACACACGCCTTGATAAAAACCTACAAGAAAAAAACATGGAATTCACTGCATTCTTACCTATCCACCTAAAGTTAAGATAAATAATCTATAATTGATAACAAACATATGCTTAGACAGGGTACGTACCAGACACAAAATTGAAGCAATTATCTTGATAACTCAAATTTGAGGGCTAGGGAGAGGACCACTGTTTTCAAGAGACATGGGTTTGTATCCAAATTTTCCAGAGATTTGGTTGGGTCTCTTCACCAAACGTCTCTCCAGACCTTTGCACAAGCTGCTCCCTCTGCCCCACCCTCACCCTTGTCACTTATTCCCATAGAACTCATTCAACCCTGACCATCTCTCTAGACTTAGCTCAAAGATCACTTCTCCTTGGAGATGTTCCCTGACGTCCATCTCTATCCCTGTTCCAAATACCTCTTTGATTTGATCTCCACGAATGAGCCTCCTTCATCCCAGTAACGGCTTCTCCCGTGTTGAAGCCAGTGAAGACAGGACTTGCATCTAGAATCCAGCAGATATGAACACTTTCAAGGGTGTGCTGGACCTCTGTCTGCTGAAATGCCTCCACTCTCAAGATCCCCAACGTACCAAAGTGCCACCAAGGTGCTCTGGTTACGTGAGATGTCGTCTATGAGGGAAAATGAGCAAAGGGGACAGCAGATTTCTCTGAATTAGTTTTACAACTTCTTGTGGGTCTTAAAACTGATTTAAAATAAAATATTATAACTTTTTACAAAAAAATTTTATTTTTGCTCTTATGTTTATACATCTTTATTTTTTAATTTTATATTTATACTTTTTATTTTCATATATATTTCTAGAATATCTAAGAAAAACAGTAGTCATTACATACTATCATACAGGAAAGGAATGCCCTAATTCTGGGCACTGTTCTTTTGGTCTGGCAGGTTGGCATTTAAAATATGCTGGCAGAGGAGGGCGATGCATTACTTTTGCCTGATTCAAGCACATCCTCGAAACGATGTTTTCATAAACAAAGTGCCGACGGCTATGATCTTATCTTCTCTTTTCTTTTTATCCTAATTCAGGTCAATAACAAGTGTTTCTGCTCTCTTCTGCAGATTCCAGGTTTTGGAAGAGAGAGAGTAATTACAAGCGACAGAGAACGCTTAGTGAAAAATTCACAAGAAGCCACAGTGGCTTTAAACTTCTTTCTACTTAGCATTGTCTTTTAAAAAAAAAAAAAAAAGTCGATTTTAAAAAGAGATGTTTTAAATAAATAAGGTTGGTGTTTACACTCCAACAAAGTTGCTGGAGTTTTTAAATTACTTGTTCAAGAGCCCACTGTCAGTTACATGGATAATAATGTGGGTCATTACCTCAAAGTCTGAAGCTTAGTGGGCAATTTTTCTATTATTAGGAGATCTCAAATCCACCAACAAGAAATCCATATGCACGTAGATTAAGGTAAAATTTCAGTATATCTTTAAACTAATTAAACTTATAAGTTCAACCAGGACTCCCTCAGCATAAAAAGCTGCAATTTCTAATATTATTCAGTTAATAAGCTTCTTATACTCCATAGGATGAAAATTATGAAAAAGCCTGTAGATATCATAAGCATAAAGTCAAATTCGAGATAAATGACATTCCCCCATATTCCTCCTTCTTTTTCTGAAAACTGCAAACTCTTTAGTGGGTACATCTAAGAAGTGTACCTGTTCAGAAGTCGCTGTAGTTTTGTGATAACCAGTTTAAATTAAGTTCAGCTCAAAGTGTAGCACTACAACGCCGTCTTAGCAACCCACAGGCTTGTCCAGAAAAGATTCTGAAGGATACAGAATGATAACCAGGTGCAGGAAAAGAATGCCTCTCGGATTGCTAGAAAAGCCCCTTGGAGGAGGGCATCCATCTTTATTGGTTCAGGACCACACCCACAAGCTGTAAAGGCAGAGCTTCGCTTAATAAATGAAAGGGAGGAAAAAACGTAAGGATGTTTTTAATATTTGGCTTATTGATTCATGAATCAAAGGAGAAGAGACTATAATTACTTCTGCTTCCCTCAGAACTGAGAGATTTCTTCCAAGCGCTCTTTTGTGTGGCAAGAACAAAGCTTTATTCCAAAGAAAATTCACTTTAAAATATCCCAAAAGAGATAAAATACCCGCAAGATTCTGCAGCTCTTTAATGCTTGCCATGGGCCAAATCGTGCAATTAGAATCAGTCACTTTAAGTGCTAAAGTCGTATAATGCTAATAGATCACTTTATAATGTGAACAGTTTTTAAAAGTCGTATTTAATTTTTCATTATGACTGTACTGAATGCTAGTTGTGTCTGTCCATTCAGTTACAGATTCTTACGTCCAGCGAGGGCGGGGAGGGACTGCCGCTTGCTGAGGCATTGCTCCATTCTAGCTGTAATTCTCGGAGACCTGAATTAGATCTCTAACATAGACCATATTTCAGCTTCCTTCCTAAATGTGTTTATTTGTATTTCCAAACCAAATGATGAGGGCTCCTTTTGGTTTCATAATTATTTTCTTTCAAAAAATACATATTGAAGCAAAAAGCTTCGGTGATGTGTGTGTGCACGTCAGAGGGTGTATGCACGCACACACGTGTGTGGTTTTCTTTAAGAAAATGAAATGAACCATAAAATAAGCCCTTAACAGTAACCTAAGAAATAAAACAAAATCATTTACAACACATGGGATTGTTGCAGGATATGTCAAGATTAGATGGTTTAAGGGAGCTGTCCTGAATGTGGAAGCAATTATAATGAAATTCATGACTCATTAGCAAACATTCCATACTGTGTTTCTCATTTCTGGGTCAATGTTACTAGGAAATATAGACTTAAGATTTAGATGTTTCATTGACTCCAGCACTAGATTATAGATAGTTGAACCATACAATTACAGAAAGCAAAGATTCCATGGTTTTGAAGTTCTTCATTTCTCAGATGTAGGCAATTTTGTCCCTAAAGTAAGTATGAACAAAATAACCTCAAAAGTATATTGGTAAGAATTAAATTAGTGCTAGAAGGGTTGCCTCTAAATGTGAAGTAAGAATTGCATGGTGCAAATACATACTGGGGGGGGTGTCGGTGGGGATTTCACATGCACACTACTTGGTATGCAAAATGGCTGGTGAACTCAAGTACCCAATACTGTATGTAATGGGAACCAGATGTCGAACAGAGAGAGAAAAATATTTTATAGCAATAAATGTGACATTGACTCTTAAAGGGTTTGCTGCTTTTAAACAACTTCCCAGTCTTACTTTTCCTCATATTTTAAAATAAAGTAGATTGTGTAAAGAAGTTATTTTCATATTTTAAAAGGGAAAGTGTTTAACTTGCCATGATCTCCTAAAATGCGTACATATGGAGAAATGATCTGAAAAAAAAAATAATTTTGGAAGTTATTCATTTACGAAAGTACTGTGTTCAGCGATGCAAAAAAGTATTAAGGCAAATAAAGCATCATTCCTCCTGCCCTTTAGGAACTTAAAATACACTAGATTCTATAAGATGTGCACAACTGTTACAGGGACAAAACAAGAAGCAAAAAGGAAGACCTGGGGAAGAGACACAAAGTGCTCTGAGAATTCAAAGGAGGAAAAGAAAACTTCTGTGGTTGTCAGATCCCATGAAGGAGGGTCCTGCGGATTCATCCTCCTCTGTGTCTCCATGTGCACGCCTTCCTGTGAGTGCACCAATGCTGCAAAGGCCTCCCACTCTCTTGCCCGGCCATAGCAGTGGTCTCTCAGCATCTCTGCTCTCTCAGCCTCCCCCTACCTACTCCCAGTGCAACCCCCACTTTGCTGTTGGGGTTGTGGTTCTGAAGCACTGGTGCCATCCAGGAAGCAGAGGACCCTCACGATTAAGTTGCAAGCTCTGTAATTAGGCCTAGGGTCCACTTTCTGCTTTGCCATTTACTAGTTGTGACCTTGGAGAAGTCATTTAACCAACCCCTTTCTACCTGCATTTTCTCATCTGTCAGGTGAGGATGATAAAAACACACATCTCATGGGCTTGGGGTCAGGGTTTATTGAGGTTCTGCACATTACATGCTTTGCAAGATGCCACTATGGAGGCAGGGCATTGTTAGGAGAAACTCTTTTAGCTGTTCTCCTATCAATCATCGGATCCAGTTTTTATAGAAGAAAATCTAACGTTGTTATTTTAGTGTGCCAGGCTGCTCATGAACTGGTGCTTGCATGCTTTTCCAATTCTCGTCTTAATCCCCTCCCTCAAATATGCAACTCTCATCCTATCCTTGTCTGTTTGTCATTGTCCAAGAAGGCCTTCTGTGCTCAAGCTTCTGTACCTTTGCATATGCTATTCTGCCTGCTATGGATGCTCTACCCTCCACCTATCCATGTAGCAAATTCTTGCTTCACCTGGTCTCCCCTCCAGCAGAGCCCTCTGTGCCTTCCCTGATATCCTGTGAAAGAATAACGGCCTTCTTTACTAGGCCAATGGTAGCAAACTCATGGCCCACACAGATAGCAAAAATAAGTGAAGCAGGCCAAGGTAATACAGTAGGGAGTAGTGGGGACTGTGGTAAAAAGGAGAACCCATGCCCTAGCTACAGGATCAGCTACCTCTTACTGTTGCCATGGTAAAATGAGCACCCAATATTGCCAAAATTTCCACTTTTTTCAAGGTAAGACAGAAATTTGCATTTTTTAACCTGAAATCTTCAGTTGTTAATTGTTGGCAACTAAATCTTTTTTTTCTTTTAATGCTATAACTTTGAGGCAAACACAACCCTCTGGGGACCAAATGACTAATGTGTGATCATTATCTGTGGTCAGTATCTGACTTCCTTAGAACTGTCTGGAACTCTTCCTACAAAGCTCCAAAGCCCACTCTGTGGTTAGCAACACTGGAGTCAGCTCTAAAAATACAAACATGGTCTAGAAACCTAGTCTATATATAAACTTAATCTGCACCTGACATGTGAGTGAATAACTGAATGAGTGAGTTAAACCTACCTTGAGGAGCCCCAACTCAAATGTCAGAGGTGACACTGCTTTAATTTTGTTGAAAGGTGAGCATACAGCAAATCCTAGACCCAGAAAGAGACACGTTGTCTCTGAAACTTTGGCCAAGAAGAAGAAAATGGTAAAGGCTAGGATGTGGACGAAGTAGAAGATTCAGTGAGAGCAATGACAACAGATCTTTTTAAAACTTTTTAAATGTAACTTCTAGCCACTTATCTCAAGAAATAATCGTGCATAAATATTTGACTGTAAGGATGCTCATCACAGCTCTGTTTATAATGTTGAAAATCACTGCTGTTACGTGAGCAACGAGAAAGGACTTATGATCATCATTATTAATAACAATAGGTGAAATCTATTGAACTTTACCTACTTATGTGACAGTTTATGTGCTGGGAACATGAGACTCACCATATCCCTTAACCATATTGTTATATCCATCCTACAGATGAGGACTCTCAGACTTGGGGTGTTTAAATAATTTGCCCAAATCATGAAGCAAAGAGTGTCAGAGCAGATGTTTGAACACAGGACTATTTAATGCCAGAGCTCAAGCAATACATTCCACTTCTCCCATAAATACTGGAACATCCACGGGAGTCTCTGTGCAGTCACCCAAATTATCATCTAGGATATATGATGATAAAGAAAAGACTTACAGAGTATTATTAAGTGAAAAAAGCAGGTTACAAAAAAGCGTCCTCTTGCTCAGGCATTGTTAGATGGAAATGTCAGGAGCCTACAGACACTGCTCCACCACTAAGGGAGGATTTGAGGGAGGAATAAAAGGGTATCCCACAAAAATCCCTGCAGGAATTTGCGCCAGGATACAAGGATGTCTCTAGGCCCTCTCTGCCTCTGCTTCTTGCTCTGTGTCACCTCTACTCGTCACTCGCAATCCACCTTCTCCTTTAGGTTTAGTACAGCTTTAGGTTTCGAGGTGAAAATTCAGATCCCACCTCCATGTAGTATTATAGGTCCAGATCCCAATACCATCTGATTTAATCCTAAGGAAAGAGTAGACACTGGCCCAGCTGGCACCTGATGTCTTCCCCTGGTCTAATTAGCTGGCACCAGGGGCTAGAAATTCTGTGACAACTGAATCTATAAAACAGCAAACAGTGTGCAGGGAAGCACTGCCCATCTAAGTAGTCATTCTATTTTTGGTAAATAAAAAAAAAAATATATGGAGAAAAAAGATGGGAAGGACCCACACCAAGGTATTAACAATGTTTAAATCTACAACATTTGTTTTCCCATTGTTGCTTCTCCATGTGTTCTAAGCTTTCTACAGTGGACATATATCACTTTCGTACTACAAGGAGAAAAGGAGCCCAACCTACCTGGGGACTGAAAAGTAAATGTGTAGAGTGGGTGATGTTTGGAGACTAAAGGCCCAGAGGAAGAAAACCAGTATCTTTAGTGAAGATGGGTTGTAGGAAACTCTTACCAAAGAAAGGTTATCTGAACAACAAACCACACCTGATGGTCCTTGGATGTGGAGCAAGGCCTCACCAAGAAGATGTCAAAGCTGCATCTGATGGAGATGCTGGGCAGTGGGTGCACAAGGGCCCATGGCCCCGTGACCCTGTGCCAGGCAAATGGCTCCTGGGATAAGACAGCTCAGAGCAGAGAAGAAAGGCATGGGCTACACGGAACGTAGGATATGGTTTTAGAAGGCAAGAGACAATAGCCATAAATGAGGAAACCAAAATGAGAAGATGTATTTCAAGCAGACATGTGAGGAAGGGCGGGGAGAGTTCATTGGTCTGAAAATGGCAGTGCAGTCACAAATAAGTAATGAAGGGGAATGGAGGTAAGTCTTTTTCATGCACAGAAAGGGTAAAGTGATGACCAAAGGAGATAAAGGCATAGATAGAGTTTTAGGACCATAGAGGAATGACGTAGCTGAAAGAACGGTCAGTTGGTTACCAAGGTAGGGCAGGAGAATAGAAGACGGGTAAGAAGCAAAGAAGTTATTGAGAACAAGCATTTGGGCTTGAATACAGCTAGCCAGAACACCCGCTCCAGAGTTACACATTGGCAATGTTAGTTCCTGCAGTGCCATTTGCCTGCCACGCTTTCCCAATGATGAGTGGCCACAGGCCTTCCTAACCACACCCCGCCTATGGACTCTATGCATGTAAATTCTCATCTTGTACCCCACCTGAGACATGCTCCCCTATACCTTGCACTTCTGGAGAATAGATATTTCATTACTTTTCACTGATTACTTAATTGACTTTTAGAGCTCCATCGTGACAGGAAGCTCCTGGAGACTGGGAGGTTGGGAACACCTGACATTGTGATTGGACATGTTAGCAGTTATAAGTCATGTCCACAAGTTCTTGAATACTCCTCAAATCCAGGGTCTATGTGCTCTCTTCTTGAATCTGAGCTGACCTTAGTGGCTGGTGGACCAGAGGAGTATGTGCCTTGGCTAGGCCAAAAAGGATGATTCAGCTTCTACCTAGTTCTCTTGGGACACTCATCTTTGGAGTCCAAAGTGGGTGCGAAAGGAAAAGAAGAATGAGATACTGCGAGGAAGCTCAGACCACATGGAATGACCAGGTGGTCCAGCTGACAGCCCCAACTGGGACTGCAGCAAGGGCCAGCATCAACCATCAGACGTGTGAGTGAGGGCGCCTTAGTGGCGGCTCCAGCCCCAGCCACTGTCAGACTTCGTCCTCCTGAAAGGCTGCATGAGAACCACGCAGCAGAGTGCAGTCAACACTCAGAACTCTGTCAGATAGCAACAAAATGATTGTGGTGGTTTGAATTGAGTTAATTTTAGGGTGATCTGTCATACAGAAATAGATAACTGGAACAGACATAGTTGGTTCTTGACAGATATCTGTTCAATTTAATTCAATAGCAGAGAAGGAAGGCAACATCATCTCTTGATCCCTTTTTCCCTTTGTCTCACCCTCCATTATCTTCTGTTCCTTAGTCAGGCTCTCCTTACCTCCTGGCCCTCCCCCTTATTCTCCCTCTCTGAAAATCCAGAATTCTCCCCTTTTTTTTTAATCACCAAGGGAGTTATAGAAGAGAGAGCTCTCTCCATACCTATAGAAGGACTGTTTTCTCTCTTTTGACATAAAGAAACAAATCCTTTTTGTAGAAAACTGTTCCCATTTTCTGTTCTTTACTCAATTTATTCTTCCTTCCCGAATGATCTTTGAGCCTTATGTGTACTTTTTAGGTTGTAAAAACTAACAACAAGATACCTTACCCCGTGGTGATCTTGGCTGTGGTCTCAGCCTCATCTGGAAAGCACTGTTGTTGTGGCCACCTCCTGGTCTTCTCATGGCTGTCCCAGCCATCTGCTGCAGAGGCCTCACTCGCTTCCCCAGCAGCACAGGGCTCTGCAGGCAGCAGCTGCATCATGAGCCTGAGTGGGAAGTCAGCAAGCAGGGTGGTCAGGATTGCTGTAAGGATGCCCTGAGTGCAGCTTCAAATGAGGCTGTGTGGGAGGGATGCTCAGATGCTGTGGCCTGGAAACCCGCCTGGCTCGCCTTGCTCCAAAAGAGTGTGACCCACAGAACAGTCGCCGGGCAGCTGATAAAGCATGGAGGCTGAGGAATAGCCAAAACTAGACCAGAAAATTTCCCCACCCCTACGTGAAAGGGAGTCCGTTCCGTCTGTGCTGCCTCTTGGGGGTAGCCTGCACCACCACCTCAGAATGTCACCTGTGATAGGATTAGGTGGGTGCACCTCGATGGATTCACGGCTTTGCACAAAAGCACAGACTTCTGGAGGAACACAGAACTGCTCAGCTGAGAAATGAAGAAGCGCCCTCCAGGAATGGCAAACACGTTGCTAAAGAGACCACGTGCGGGGTTGGCCGAGTGCCCCAGCAGCAGGCAAACTGATATCATCTCAGGTCAAGGAGAAAGCCCCACAGCCCAAAATAGCCACCCTTCCCAGTTGCCACAGGGTCTAAAATTATACCATTGAAGATTTATTCCTGTGCACACCTCACTTACGTTGGGGACCGGTCTGCGGGTAGGGGTGGGGGGACCCGTGAAATGTCTTCACATTAAGGTGTAAAAGGCCTAACAGCTCCGTGGAGTTATGTGGGGACAGGAAAAGAGGGAGGTGTGGGAAGGAGAGCAGCAAGGCAAAGGAAGCGTTGGTGAGGGACACCAAAAAGAACCTCTCCTCTGTCTGAGTTTTCTCCAGAAGGAGTCTAGCTGGCAGCCATATCCTTGAAACCCAGGCCACAGCAATTTGCCAGTGAATTTGAACCATGCATGTAAACAATTCTAATAATTTATTCCTTGAAACACCTTTACAATGCATTATTATGCAGAGCTGCACATGCTTCTACCTCAAATTTCCTAAATGGGAAAAAGAAAGTAAATTAAGGGGCAATTAGAAAGAACAGCACGAGGAAACATGAGGAAATGGGCCTGGTCCGTCACGCTGGGACACAGAGGGAGCTACAGGCAGGTGATCAGATCGTTGCCGCCCAAGTCTCCACTTCTGGGGGAAGATCTAGAAGTTTAGTTAACCTGACCCCGAAAGATTCAGCAGTAAACAAAAGCAAATAATCACTATTGGAAGTACATCTCAGACCCACTGTTTCAACAAACAACAGCTCCATCTGATTCCATTCTTAAAGTCCTTAGGAAATAGCAAACATTTCAGAAAGGAAGTACCCCCTTCCTAGGGCAGAAAGCTAAGTACCATGGATGCCACTGATGAGTTTTAGACAGAGGCAAGGATAAAAACAGGTGCAGAGACAACAAGGAAGGAGAAAGGAAAGAGTGAAAGAGGAAAGAAAGAGTGGCCAATGCCGAGAACAATGAATTTCCACAGGAAGTACCAACGTTTCTACACTGTTCGGCAGTTTATACAGACCTGTCACTCACCTTCACCTCCAACCCTCCAAACTCCGTGAAGGAAGGAAGTTTCACTCTCATTTTTATGAATGAGAACACCTTGGAAGAGAGAAATTAGGTGATTTGCCCCAGGTGATACAGCTGGTTAGTTGGGGACACGGGCAGGCCTTGAAACCCAAGTTTGACTAACAGAAGCCCATTTGTTCTGTTCCGACAGTCTGCAGAGTTATAGAACCCTGGGCTTCAGGAAATGTTACTCCTGGGTCTATGAGTAACTTACTGGATCATTTCCGCAGCTAAGATTTCCCTTTGCAACCTTGGTTCATTCATTCAGTCAACAAATAATGATTGAGTCTCCACCAGTGCTGGGCAATGTTCTAGGAACTGGAGTTCACCTTCACAGGTTTCACAGAGGTGACTTCCGGATGGTCAATCTCAACTGTGCCCTTTGCTGAGAGCCACTCTCCGACCACGCAATCTAAAGTGGGCCCCTCATCCTTTCCCAGGCACTCATGTCTAATTTTCCCATAATACTTAACACTGTCTGAAACCATGTAGTTCATATCTTTATTCACTATTTTACTACTTGTCTTCTCTCTCTAGACAATTAGGTCCTTCATAACAAGGACCCTGTCTTATTCAAAGCTGTCTCTCCAATACTTAGAAAAATTCCTACACACAGCAGGTGCTCAATAAACATTTGTCCAACCAATGACATTAAATATCAATGAGAGCTTTTATCCCGTGTCTACTACGTGTCCAAAGTAGTATGAGACTGTTTACATCAATTACTTCATTTAAAGATGATACATGCCAAAACAGAAAATATGTGAAGAAGATGTGGTTTTACTAATGGCAAAGAAGATGCTTGGAACAATTAAAGCTCAATTGGAAATGCCTGTATTCTGTGCCACTTAATGCAAGAACAAGGGCCATCTTGTGACGTTAAAAGGTAACAAATTTAAAATGAATAAAAGGAAATACTTTTTAAAGCAGCGTATAATCTACCTGTGGAATTCACTGCCGCAGGATATTATTGAGGCAAATAGTCTAGCAAGATTCAAGAAAGGATTAGACATTTATATGAATAGGAATAATATTGGCAGTTACGCTAACTAGGTTAAAAAGTTACAAGGCATGTCCGTCGTGGGCTTCAGGGCATAACTGTTCACCAGCTGGGGTGAGGAAGGAATTTCCCCTTGCAATAGAGCATTGCATAATTGGCCAGATGCGCAAGGGCTCCAATTTTTGCCATCTTCTGTAACACAGGCAGAGACCACTGCCCAGGGGATGTTCCTGAGAAGATGGACCAATGACCTCTTAATGTGGTATTTCTGTCTTCTCGTTGCACAATCCTGAGTAGAAAGTAGAGAATACAGATAAAGTCATCAAGTCTTTTGGATTTGCACCTGAAAATGTTTCAATTTCAAAAAACACGAATGCTAAACATAATTCTCTTCTTCCTGATGAAAATATTTCACGGAATGAAATCATGCTCCAGCTGTAATCTTAGCAGCGCAGCCAACAGCGCCAGCATGCTGCCTGGGCACTTCCAAATCTCAGCACATCAGAGTCGTGGGAGAATCTCATACATGAGCATCATCACCCATTTTTCACATCCCTCTAACACTCTGCCTTATGCATGTGCACTTAACACAGATGTGTTTAATGAATGTGCATTTCCACAGGTGTGCAAGGAAAGCTGCTCATGATGCTGTCCACTCACATTTCGAAGCTTTTCTCTTTGTTATAGAATCAATTACACTGCCAGGCACAACCTTTTTTCTTGGTGATGTATGTTGTGCATTTTTTTCATCCTAACATGGAAAATCCAAAAGGCAGTTGTTAGCCACGCATCCAAAACCAAGTGTCCATAATAACATGTTATCATATTAAAGAAAACATTGAAACTAAATTGTTTATTATAGTTAATTACGTTACAAACCTTACTTATCCAGGTGTAGACAAGGCTCTGAAGAAACTGTATCTGTGTTTGAACTATTAACAAAAGAACAGCCCTTGAACTGTGGGACAAAGAATATTCTGCAAGCCAAAACAGAAAGGGAAATTTAATTTAAATCCTCAAACCAGCAATGTACCTAAAAGATTTCAAAGATCCCTGAATAAAAGTAAATGGGTATACCACAAAGTGTTGTACAAATGTTAATATATGTGTTTTTCTGGAGAGAGAGAGAGAGAGAAAGAGACCACATAGATGCCATTATTATTTTCAAATACGTGAGAACACAAAATAAGTTTAGAACCACTGGCCTAGGCCCCAGTCCACAAGAAAATTCTCAAGTCACTCTGGACAAAGTCCTTTTCATTTACATGCAAGATTCGCTTCCTTCTAAGATTTGCTTCCTTAAATTGGCAGGATAATATTAATTGGACAATCTTTGGAAAAAATCATACATACAGTATCTAATACCCATTCAGAGAAAAGGCCTTAATCATTTAAGTGTTGCTTCGGATAGCTATCTGTCATTTTATTGACCAGTTGATGACACGTCTTTTAAAGCTGGGCTATTTTCTCTTGGTCTAAGTCTCTCTCTTTACTTTTTCATGTGATTATCTTAAGAGTAGAGCTTGTCAGATTTTGGTTTGTTGGTGTTGGGTTGTTTTCAATTTGAGGTTTGGGGTTTTTTCTGATAATTGATGTCTGGTTTTTTTTTAAAATTTACCACATATCGTGAGGAATTACAAGTTGACAGTGTAAGCTCTGTAGTCAACCAGATGGGGTTTGAATCACACAGTAACAGTGTGACTTCAGATAAACTAATTATCCTTCCCCGTGACTCTCTTTCCTCATCTGTAAAATGGAAATATGAGAAAATCTAGCTTAATCTGATGAGCAGATTAAAGGAGACAGTGACCATAAAGCATCTGACACATTGCCCATCTTACATTAGGTAGATAATAAATGTTTTCTATTATTATGATTGTGCATATCTTGCCTGCATATTTGTAATCATTAAGAGTACATATCCTATTTTGATACTATTACATGGTTCACGTAATAATCAACATCAGGAAAATATTTTATAGTTTCATTTCCCATATTGTTAGGTTTGTATTTAAGTTCTAATTACTGTAAACAATAGTTTGACGACCATCTTGGGTATTATCTTTTTGCTACTGAGAATGGATTTCCAGGAGTAAAATTATTTGGTCAAATCTTACAAAAATTTTTTTGGCTCTTGATACACACTGCCAAATGAGTTTCCAAGAGGGTTTTGCCAAAGTACCCTATCACAGCTATATAAGAGTATCAGTTTCACCACTTCTTGGTAAACAATGGGAATTACTATTTACCAGGAATAAAGAGGAAAAGAAATAAAAATAACAAAAAGACTGTATACAAGTAAGCTTTTGTGTTTCCAGATCTAGGAAAAAAAAAAAACTCTGTGAATGGTGCAAATTTCCATTCCCTTAACATCAGCCAGTTTCCTTCCAAGCACTTTCTCAAAGTATTGTGCTCAGCCTCTCAGAAACTTCTCATCCCACAGCCACACACCTTGTAGTTTTCCAGCTGAGTGAAGGCACAGAGGGGAAGGAGTGGTTCCCTGGTTTTCTGCCAGATGTCCAGGGGTCCCATGAAGGCCAGTGATTCAACTGCCTGCCATGAAGACAGTGTACTCAGGACCATTCCCAGAGGAAATGGGACCTGGTGAGGCTAATACATAAATATTTTCTTGCAAGGTGGAATAATGTAGAATGACAGAGCCCACACACCTGACCACAAAACATGGAAGGTGTAACCCAATGAGGCATATCACCTGAGCTCTGAAAGGGATAATGTGAGGAGGCACAGTTGGTTCATGGAGCTTTGCAAGAGACTTAAATAATAGCTGGTTTTGTGGGAAGAGAAAAAAAAACACAAAGAAAAGAAAAGAAAGGAAGAGAACACTCTGGCTTTTGGTAGTGGATTTACTATATGTAAAAGGTGAGGAATTGTCAATGTTGAAATGGAAATTTTCTGATTTGAGGTGACCAAATAGAGACTTTTTTCTCACCCTTTCCAAATCAATGTCCTGCTGACCCCCCTCTTTCTTCTGAAACAAATCCTAAGGAGTCCCCAAAATTAACTGGAAATCTGTATGGGCATTGTTCTAATAAGAAAACGTCTGATGTCCCCGCTCATCCACGCAAAACCCTCCAAGGAGAAATCTCTTCTAAGTTGTTGTCTCTTAGGAGGCAGTACAATGACTTCTCCTGGCTCAGTTACAATGGAGTAGTCACACAAAAGGTGCAAATCATAGTTGGGCTCTTTCCACATTTGTGGATGAAGCGGCACTATTTGCTAAATTCTGGAATCTGATGCTGGTTAACCAGGATTAGCCACTCCATGATGGGGGCCATCAGTATGGTGTTTGTCCTGGCTCCATGGCTATCTGCACACCAGGGTATGAAGCACATGTACAGGCAGACAACATGGTCAAAGGAATAAAGACTCAGCCTGCTATTGCTTACGATCTGCGTTTCCTTATGCAAGCAATTAACCTCTCTAGGCCTCTGCCACCTACTCTGTTAAATGGAGATAGTAACACCTGCCTTGCAGAGTTATTGTGAGAGAAACACCAGCTCCTGGTACACCGGAGATTTTTATGTCCACACATATACACTTACGTGTATGCGAATACATGTGCATGCGCTTGAGTTTTTGAAAATCAATTACTCCTCTCCATTTTTAGAGCTCACAAGGTGATTTTTGAAAAGTCAATCAAGAAAGGAAGGAAAGAAACAGACTTTCCTCTCCAACAAGAAAAAGCAATTAAACGTCAAATATTAACTGTTCCTGGGAGTAAATTTTTTTAATGGGCTAAAGCCTTGGCCATTATAAACCTCCAATATGTAATTTCTAAGAAAGGATCAGATAATTTTTTTTTAAATTAAGTGGAAGATAAAATGCTAGAACCAGTGTATCCATTCAGAAACCACTTTTATACCCATTTTCAGGAGCTTCCTGATTGCATCATGCCTTTTAAGAGGCCCAATTTGTTTAACAGCACTTTATTTTAAACCTTCACTCGTGAAAAGCATTGATTTATGATAGGGCTGATTAAAGCAATGGTGTCTTAAGCAATAATGACTTCAATTACAGGACTTTCACCAATGTGCATTATTCTGATTTGCTCTGCATTCTTCCCACATTTTTATTCACTAAGAATGGGAGGATAGGTAGGTGACACAATTTTGAAAAGTCACCAGGCAAGTTTAGCATCAGAAAGAATGTATAGACAGGTGGACTGACGTACCCTTTCGATGACATGAATGTATTGTATTTTAATATGCTCCGACAAACTTGAACAACTCCGTGACGCGCTCCCACCCACCATCATTAGGGTTATTTGGAGCTCTGATCCCACTCTATTTCCGCTGGAGCACAGGCAAGTTGTAGGACTGTGCACACAACAGAATCCCCCCAAGCCTCACACTAAGAGTTTCGCCTTCCCTTTTCGTGGGGCTGGAGAAAATAGCTCAGCTCACACTTACATGTTTAACTCATTCAGATCAAATGTTGGCATAACACGTCCCAAATATTCCTCCTCATCTGAGGACTATCTTATGGACCAGGCTGGTAAATAAGAAAGTGAAGTTGGCCTAGAGTCATATGCTAGGGAAAGGTGGCAACTTCGAAAGAGCCCTGTCTACTGGGGACAGCTGCTCCAGGCCCCAGCTTATTGTCACCAGGTGTGGCTGTGGACCAAAACGGTGCCACATCTTCAGATTTTCCAAAAGAATCCAGACATCCATATTCTTATGTAAAGTTGAATTTTCTCCATTTTTTTTAAGATTTTATTTTTCCCTCTTCTCCCCAAAGACCGCGGGTACATAGTTGTATATTTTTAGTTGTGGGTCCTTCCACTTGTGGCACGTGGGATACCACCTCATCAGGGCCTGATGAGCAGTGCCAGGTCCGTGCCCAGGATCTGAACCGGTGAAACCCTAGGCTGCTGAAGCAGAGTGCGCAAACCCAACCACTTGGCCCCGGGGCGGGCACTGAATTTTTTCCATTTTAAGGGTTAGACAAACATTGACCAAATTCAGCCTGTAGGTCCCCTCTGTTATGCACCCAGTTGGTGCACAAGGGGTCAATCCATCTAGTTATTGGAGAGAAGATATGCCACAACGTTTTTTTAAATTAATACAGTATTTTCATTCCACTACTTCATACACATTTCATGGACATCTCTGTGCTAAGAACCACGTGCTAGCTATTGGGAATGCAAAAGAAGAACAATACCTATTATCTGCCATCAAGGAATGGACAGTCTAGAATTTACATATATATGGACTATGAAAGATTTCAGGTTTTCAAAGTTTAGGGGAACATTGGGGCTCGATCTACCACCTTTCCTTTTAGTAAGAATCTCCTTTTCTTCAGCTAAGTTCCTTTGTCCCTGTGCACTGCTTTGAGGCTCCATCTTAATTTGAGCACCAGTCCCAGGAATCCGAAAGTCCATCTAAGATACATTCCCATTAAAATCTCCCACAGCACCTGGAAGGGAAAATTCTGCTCACACCTTGACAGTCTTTCTCCATCAAATCTGCTTTACAGATTTCTCAGTTCAGTGCTGTTAACTAGACTCTCGCGTGATTTAAACCTAGCTCTCAATCTCAGCTGTTCTATGCTGCTGTAGTTTTTATGAGAGCTGACCAGCAAATGCTTCGTGCATTAATCCCTCTGCAAAAATCACCTTAATAACTTTTTTAACATTTCTTTTTAATTATAGAAGTCCCAAGACAAAAATGAAAGTATTTGGGCCCAGCCATTAGAATTTTCAGCTTCGCACTTGAAAAATGATGTACCTAATTGCTTTACAGAAGAAAAGCAGATCAAAGTTAAGATTCTTTCTTTTAAAACTTTGTGATTATTTCTCAGACTCCTCCTTGAAATGCTTTAAAAGTACTTCCACTGAAATGTATATGGGCTTTTTTCCCCTCCCTTTCAAATATGCTAGGACTTTACTGTCGCCTTCCTTTGCCCTCTTTGATGGCACTGCCTGAAAGGAAAGTTCTCAAACCTCACCACCACCGGCAGGGTACAGAAACAGACAAGACAGGTGGTGCACTGTGCTAAGAACGAGGCATAGCACCAAGTTAAACACAGCGTTTGAAACATTCTGTAGCTCAAAAACAGGCAATTACAGGAGACCTCATTTCTTTCTTTGCATAAAATTCTCAGCCAACCCTTAGCATACACATCTCCTTTCTGTCCTCTCTTCCCAGCCCATCCTCATAGCAAACTCGCAGACTTCTTCTCAGGGAGCACTAAACCGCAGTTAACACGCTCTAACCACTCTGGGCTCTGGATGTTGGGGAACATCTGAACTTCTCATCTGCTTTACACGGCAGGCACTTCTTATGAGGTCACTGACTTTCTTAGTTCGAAGCTACTTTGGTGATTCTTCCCTCATCTCTTTATTTGACAAATGGAGGAGAAAAGACTGAGAGAGGAAATGACTTGCCCAAGGTCACACAGCTGGTCCCCATGCTTGTTGGTCTAGTGCTCTCTCCCCTTCCACTCAGAGCCATTGTACGGTACAAATAACAGTTCTCAAAAGAGAATTTTACTTAGTCTTCACAATAAAAACAAATTTATTACAATAGCATTCATGGGCCCCCATTTTGTGCCAAGAGCCATGTCCATTCTGGAGACTCAGCAATGAATGGGAAGCATTCTAATTCTGATTCCATCATCTGCTAATGATGCCTCCTCACTGAGCTGATGCACAGAGCAATCACTGACTGATCACAGTGTGTAAAAGCTGGGAGGAATCCCAGAGCTTTCATTCCAACTTCTTGTTTCACAGAGGAGGAAACTGAGGCCCCAAGAGGCCTTAGAACTAGTTCATGTTAGAGGCAGGTCTAGAGATAGTCCATGTTAGAGGCTGGTCTAGAACTAGTTCATGTTAGAAGTAGGTCTAGAACTAGTTCACATTAGACATAGATCCAGAGCTAGTTCAAGTTAGAGGCAGGTCTAGAGCTAGTTCACATTAGAGGTAGATCCAGAGCTAGTTCATATTAGAGGCAGGTCTAGAGTTAGTCCATGTTAGAGGCAGGTCTAGAGCTAGTTCATGTTAGAGGTTAGTCTAGAGATAGTTCATGTTAGTGCTAGGTCTAGAGTTAGTTCATGTTAGAGGGAGGTCTAGAGTTAGTTCATGTTAGTGCTAGGTCTAGAGTTAGTTCATGTTAAAGGCAGGTCTAGAGTTAGTTTGCGTTAGCAGTAGATCCAGAGCTAGTTCATGTTAGAGGTAGGTCTAGAGTTAGTCCATGTTAGAGGCAGGTCTAGAGTTAGTCCATGTTAGAGGCAGGTCTAGAGTTAGTCCATGTTAGAGGCAGGTCTAGAGTTAGTCCATGTTAGAGGCAGGTCTAGAGCTAGTTCATGTTAGAAGTAAGTCTAGAACTAGCTCACATTAGAGGCAGATCCAGAGCTAGTTCATGTTAGAGGCAGGTCTAGAACCCATGATGCTGACCAATGAGTGGCGTTCTCTTTGCTTCAGCACATTCATCTCCTGCAGAATGCAACCTAACATGGGGGCCCAATCCATCATATTTATCACAACTATCTCTTTTGCTATCCTTCAGGTAAGTTAGTTTGTCTCTATGTTCTGCTTTGAAGCTCCAATAACTTGAGGACTATTCCCATGAATACTAAAGTCCATGTGGGGTATATTCCCATTAAAATCTCCAACAGCAATTGGACAATGGCTCCTGGAACAGAGTTTAGCTTCCTATGTAATAGAACTGCAGTGACTGGCAGAGTGTACATGGGAACAGCATACACCCATCCCTTTGATATGTTCAAGACAAATTCAAAGTACTCGTATGATGAGGTGATGTCAGCAGAGACACCAGGGTTACTGTTCGGACCTTCATCATGCTAATGGAATTTTTAGGGTTGCCATAGATATATTTAAAATAGTAGCTGCAGTTTATAAATATTTTCAATGATTTTGTAAACCAACAGTCTTCAATAATCTTAGCTGAAACTCTAAATGGTAACTGGCCCCATTAAAGAAAAAGTAAGTTAGATCTTCTATTATTTTAAATGTGGTCTTCCAGGAAGATGCCTCTGGACATAACTACAGAAAATTAACACAATAAGTAAAGTATTATAGAACAGCTATTAACGGCTCACACTAATAAAAACCAAATGAGGGCCTTAATTCTAGCCCTCTGGGAGAGAAGGACAGATAAAATAAACAACAGAAAAAGAATATAGACTAAAGGATAATTGATTTTAAACAATAATAATACAGAAATCTCCCGCTACATTAAAAAAAAAAATCCAGATCTCTATCTTCACTTAAGGTATGATGGAAGAAAATTTTCATTCTGCCTTGTTAAGACCTAAGTTTGAAACTAATAAGTGTGCTTTCCATGCTAACAAATTGGAAAAATTAAGGCGTGCTGACAAGGAAGCTCTTAAATGCTAGGCACATGGCCACAATGACTATTTTGCTGTATTATCAAAATGAGGAGCCTTTCCGGTCCCTTTCAGGGAGGAAGGCGAAATCTAAACATTCAGAGCTCACGTTCCAGCAGGGTGGGTCAGAAAGTGGAGTCCAGCGATACTTGGCATTCATGGCAAAGGCCAAGCCAGACAGAGTACAAAAGGAAGATTAAGTGTTTCCACTGCCTTGGGCAGAGGCTGGGGCTGCCAAGTATAGTATAGCCAATTGGCTAAATCTTAAAATTTTTGAGAATACTTGGGATTAACTCTACATAGAAATTCATGGTAGAGAAGGGTCTTTCTTTCCATTTTGTTATCTATAACATGGCTTGTATTCCTGCCTCTGAACCTAGCCAGGAGTTAACAGTTTCTCTTCGTAAGTGCCTGCTGGTGCCAAGTGTCTTACCAGATGCTTGACACTTGTTGTCTCTCATTCTTACATTATGCTTGCAAGGCAGGTGATGATCCCCAATTTAGAACTGAAGAAATGGAGGCTGGGGTGCTACACAGACATGGTCAAGCTCCCATAGTTACAAGGCCTGGCCCACCCGACTCCCTGCCTGTGGGCAACCTGGCTCTATTGCTGTTAACTGTTATTCCCTTCCTCAGTCTATTTGCACATATTGTTCTAACCAGTCTAACCCATGGAACCAATCCTCTCTACATGGCATATGCAAAATCCCAGGTTATTTTTACTTTTCCCTGGCAAAAACTCAGCAAATTCAAATGAAATTATAATTTCTACGTGAGAAAATAGTTCAGCATTTTCTTCAAATGCAAACAAAAAAAGAATCTTACACAAGACACCAAGTTTGAAGTTGGCAGAAAATAGCCTGGGAATTTCATAGCGGGCACTAAGTAGAACAATAGTGGTTCCGATTTGTAACGTGTTGGTCTGAGAATTGAAGGAGAGCTCTCCTACAGTGAAATGTGGGTGTTTAGACTAGAAAAGAAGCATCAGTAGGTACGTGATGGGGTTTCTGTACAGAGATAGAACACTTGTGTATAAAAAGGATAAGGCTTATCCAGCACTGGGTAGAAAGGCTGGGAGACATACCAGGGGCCAGTGAACGGAATGTTCGGGGGGGAGATTGAAATCTGAAGCCAAAAACATACCCTAAAAGCCAGAATTCTTCAAAAATATGGTGTATTCAGGCCATGATACTCAGCAGTGAAATAGAGGAGGCATTTTGAATAAAGAATATTTTAAAATAATTTGGAAGTTGTAGTCTTTTGCAATAAGACAGGAAAAAAAGGAAGAAATCAGATAATTTGGGGGAAGGGGCCAAAATGATCAATATTTGCAGATGACAATATCTACCCAGATGGCTCAAAAGAATCAGTTGGCAAATTCTTGGAATAAGAAAGCAGTAAAGTG